GGCAAGCCCAGTACCTCGAGATGATGACACACGCCAAAGGAATAATGAACCCATGGTGGAGAAAGCATAGGACTAACCTTTCATCAGTCTCCAGAAATGACGTACCTTGGGCACTCTAAGAAGACAGAGGAAATGATAGATGGCAAGTCCAGTACCTCGAGATGATGACACACGCCAAAGGAATAATGAACCCATGGCGGCAACAGACTACTCCAACATGAGGACAACTAAGGAACGTGTCAATCAAAAGAAAATGATACAGTTCTTGTGGGTGATCAATTTAAAGAAACCCATGGCAAAAAAACATCATATACTCTATTTTGCATAACATTCACAAATTCATCATTTAACATGACCTATTATGCAGCCATTTTCCAAAATTGCTACACTACATCATCATGCATTGAGGTTCTTCATGATTCATCACCCATTATTTGCTCACTTTCAAAAGCATCTCGATACTTATCACAAGACATAATCATTCATCATAATCATTTACAAAACAACACTTTGATGTTCCATTGACGATCACGAGTTACCTAGTAAATTTGCTTCGTCGACTATCAAGAGCAAATTAAAATCCTCCTCATAAACTTGTTCGTCGACTATCACAGACAACCTAGAACCCACATAGTCAATTTGTTTCGTCGACTATCACGAGCAAATTAAAATCCTCCAACTAAAATTGTTTCGTCGACTATCACGGACAATTCAGAAAACTTAGTCAATTTGTTTCGTCGACTATCCCGAGCAAATTAGACCCCCCGCTCAACTTGTTGCGTCGACTATCACGGGCAATTTAGAAAACCTAGTCAATTTGCTTTGTCGACTATCACGAGCAAATAGGACCCCTCGCTAAATTTTTTTCGTCGACTATCACGAGCAATTGAGAAAACCTAGTCAATTTGTTTGACGTAAGTCAATGAGATTAGCAATAGCAAATCTCAATTGAATTGTTGATTAGTTTAGCAAATTAGGCTTAAGTTCGATTTTGGGTGTCATGCAAGTTAATTGATTCTTAAGACATTGAGTCTTGTGAGAATTGGATCGCAATTTCAAAATATAATAAAATCAAAGTCATACCAATTCAGTAAATAAAATGTTAAACAACTGAAATCAAGATTACAATACATAAAAAGTATAATTGATTACACTGCTAATTTGCTATTATATTGAACTAATTACAATTAAAAATTGGGCTCAAGTCCAAGGCCAAGCCCAAATCCTAGTCAACTATTAGTCAAAACCCAAAAAAGTAAGACAGGTCCATACAAAAGCCTAACATCAGGCCCACCCAAATTCGGACCAGACACAATCTTGGCCGAACCAAACCAAGCCCAGCCCAATTATCAACGAATCAGAAAAATACAAAAAGTCAACTACCCTAACAACCAATCAAGTGACAACAGAAACCTAAGCTACAAAGAATTTTTGTATTATAAAAGGGGAGATGGGTGGGGGAATTTCAGGCATCTTGATCTTCTTCCTCTTTTCCTGCGAAAAAAGTATAGGGGACGAGCCGGTTTTCTCCTGCTTTTTCTGCTTCCCCACGCCTCTACTCTGAACTCTTTTCTTCTAAATCCCAACAAAACTCTGGAAAAATAAACAAGCATATAATCACTCCCCTTCCTCAAACAAACTCGAAGAACACAATGAAACCTCTTTTCATTCTTTTCCTTACAAACCCAAAGACCAATACATACACAGTAACTGAAAGAATAAAAATCCTTCCACTCCTTTCTTCTTCTTAACCACGAAAGCACACACAAACACTCCCAGCAAGAAAAACAAAAATCACAAGAAGAAAGTCGAAAAGAGTAGTGAAAGGAAGGCAATAGCAAAGACACCCACGGGAGTTGTAAATCATCTCCAAACTTCAAACAACCCAGGTTGGTAATCAAGCTAACCTAACCATCTTAAGATTCCCATCATCATTCCTCATCATTTTCTTATTGTCTTCCTTTACCTTCAATTAACAAGTGGTTCTAAATGAAAATCTAAGTGAACAATCCAAGAGAACCAAATACAGACTTAGAAGGTATTTTTACAGTACCATTATTATGTTTTAAGGGTGTCTGACTCGAACGAAACTACACCACAAATTAATGTACTCACCCTAAGTCGAATGATGCAAAGCAATATTAATCTAGCATATTAAATCATGTTCATGCATCTAATTGAACTATTGAATAGGTCAATTGAGTGGGAGGTCTCCTCAACTCAATCAAACAAACCAAACATGCCAGCACGCACAAGACATGCTTAGCCCTATGCAAGAGTAATTGATCATTTTCTAGGTCTAGCAATTGGCAATCATCCATCGATTGATTTGTGTTCGCCTTAACCTAATTAGATTCCTCCTTTTTAGGTCAAAAACCAAAACACCTTAACACCTGACCAAGGCAAGTGATACGCAACATTAAAGATTAACTGATCATAGAAAATCAAGGTTCATACATTAAATTTCATTACAAATATGAAAAAAAAAATATAGACTATGCCTCACCTCACCCAAGTGTTGTGAGTTTAGTGCACAGAGGGAAGAGGGGAAAACAAAGATGAAAAAACGAAATTTTTTATGAGAATGATATTCTACTCTTCTACTTTCTCCTTCGTCCAAATTTCCAGCTCCACGAAAAAAACTTCAAAGAGAAGCTAACTTGACCTTTGTGTTTAATGTTAAATATTCCTAATAATAGCATTACAACTCCCTTCTTCGTCTTTCCTCTTGCAGAACTTGAAACAAAATGGCAAAATGCACCTGCATAGTTACAACTTTGACGTTTTTGCCAATAATAGCCACTTTATGAGAAATTCAAAAACTGTCCAATTCCATCCAAAATTTTAACATAGTTATTTAAGATGTTGATTGGACTAAAGTTTTTGATGAGTTGGCAATATTTTGTCAATAGCAATGCCACATGGATTTGTGAAAAAAGGGTTATTTAAAGAGCCATTCTTCCTCTTCTCCACGTTACCCTTCTCTTCATCTTCCCCCAAAACCCCTAATATGCTACCAAAATCTCCAACTCATAAGTCAAATTAAACCAAAATCAGATTCAACAATCATCTGCCTTCATCTCCCTCAACACCCGCCCCCAATTAGTACCACAATCCACTGCCACTGTTACTCCCGTCCGTCGTTGCTCCAGTACGCTACGACTCACACCCAATCTCTCTTGGTCGAGTGAAGGTGAGAAGAAGGGTTATTCCGCTCAAATCGACCCCTCAATATATCCTCTGCCTTTCTTTTCCTCCACTTTCCCAAATCCATCAAAAGCATTGTCGCTGCATCCCCTACCCCTTTCCCGGCAGAATTCGACGCAGCTGAAAAGCAGTCGTCATCAGTTGTAGCCGCATCTGAGAGGGCATACTTCGTTGCGTTAGTTTCATTCGCTCCCCTGGTTGCCACAGTCAAAATTGTCAGTTTCGACCATGTTTCCCTAAATTCTAAGGTTCGGGCGGAACCCAGACTCCCAGAGATGCTCGACTGATTGATTGGAGCGATTGAAGAGATGGGCTGGAGCGACGGTCGGATGGGTGGGTGTGGGGGAATAGATAGATGCGGAGTGAGTCAATGCGAGGGAATGGATGGTTGCGAAGAGACGGCTTTATGGGTGCGAAGCACTCCCCTTAATCCTCGTCGGGCATTGAGAAGAAGAATCAAGAAAGGAAATGAATCTTTTTGTCCCTGCCATCGATTCTCGTTCTGGGAGGAATCGGAGGGGGGGGGGAATTTGATGAAGAAGAGCACCGATGGTGGGTTTGTGAGGAGATGACGACGAATGAAGAAGTCAGGGGGAATTATTATGAATTTTTTTTAAAGTAAAATATGATGTGGTATCTATGAGTCACATGAGGCTAAGTTGTCGCTGACGTGTCCATTGATTTGGCATTCTAATCAACATATCATTAACTAACTGATGGAATCTCTAACACCATTAAATTTTGTAACAAAAATGACTAGATTTGTCAAACAATTATTCAAAATTTGGCTATTTTATGTATTTCTCCAAATTTGGCTACTATAGATGATACTCACAAAGTTGTCAATGTACAAGTGTATTTTGTTAAAAGGATAGAGTATAGTTTCAACTAGTTGAACCCGTTTGTGTGGTGGAGGTGCACCGTTGCAGCCTCAATTGAGCGGTGTGAGTAACGGATCGAACCAGAATGATTGGCCGAACCCACACCAATTCTTCCCACTCGTCCCCTACTTAGAACTAGAATTAGGGCTGGGAAAATAGACCAGACCGTTAGAAAAACCGTGGTCTAAACCGTACCGCACAATTTGGTCCAGACCGTAGACCGTGAAGTATGGTCTGGTCTGGTCCATGGTCTGTATTATTTTATGATTTGATCTCTTGGTCTGGTCTGGTCTAGACCGCGGTTTACCGGACCAAACCGTAGACCCAACTGACTTGTCAATACGTGTTAACAATCCATTCAACCACTCTCCAAACTCCCACAGCGACACCCAAGTCTCAACCTTAATTTTGTGAATCTCTTCCCTCCTTCATTCACAACCACATTTAACCACAAAGTAGAGATAATCGTGTCTCCATATGACATTATGTTAATGTTTATGACATTATGGTGCAAGCTGAGATGCTTTTACTTTGTATCTTTGTTATGTACTAAGATTTAGAGTATCAAAATTATTAATGCATGTTAGGATTAATGTTTTAAGGCAAATAACAATTATTTTTTTTGGTTATTGGTTCAATTTTTTGTGTGGTTGACTAAACAAATTATTCATTTTTCGTTGAGTGTGGTCTATTTGGATCAGACCAGACCGAACCAGACCGCACAGGCGTGGTCTGGACCAGACCGTATAGTCTGTGGTCTGGTCTGTGGTCTATACTTTAGCCTCTCGGTCTGGACCGTAAACCGTATATATGGTCTGGTCTGGACCAGACCGCACCGTTTCCCAGCCCTAACTAGAATCATCCCTTAATTATTTATCCGTCGAATTTTCATTTATATTCATTTATTATATTCGCTGGTATCGGACGTTGAAATTGAAAATGGTGTGGAATACAGAGAATGGAATAAAAACGAAACCCTAAACAAAAAATCGGATCCATATCCGTCTCTCTCCCTCTCTCACCCCCTTCTTCTATCTCACCGGAAGGAAGCTCCGTCCCTCCGTTTCGCACCGCTATCGGAACTCGAAATTGATATAGGTTCCCGATCATATTCATCGGCGGAGGACGACTATCGACGGTCGTTCTCGTGCTTCGTCCGTTTCGATCGATCCGATTGAACCTGCTTTTCCCCCTTCTCGGCCGGCTCCGTTGTCTTCCTCTCTCACGCCGCTGCCGTCTCCCGCTCTTCTTGCTCGAAGCTCGGCTCTCTCCCTATCTCTTCCAGCTCAACTTCCTTCCCTTACTCTCTGTATCTGGAGTCGTTGACTTGGGAGTTGTGGCGCCCCAGCTGCCGCTGCTCCATCCAGAGGAAACTCCCGCACTTAACTCCATCCCCACCGCCGCCTTCCTGTTCCTAAGGTCACTCCTCCTCCAGCTTGGTGTTTTTCTTCTTCCTTTTCTCCTTTCATTTGCGACGTCCTTGATCATTGGTTTCTGTTCTTTGTATATCTTAGAGGATTTTCCTGGTTTAACTATTCGACCTTGTCTTTCTGGTGATCTTCAATCTTCCAGCGTTCTCCTCGGTTTCCAGTCTTCCCGTTAGAGGACTGCTCCTGTGTGTCTTGACATTTACTGCTGAGGAGGTTGGAGTGCATCTGGTCGCAATACCTTGAGGTGAGTGTTTGGAAATTTTTCAACTCGGTTTTGTATTGCCAGTGGAGAAGATGTTGATACAATTTGATTTAGTTCGCTGGTCTTGTTACCCTGAAACACTTGGTCGGAGATGTTGCATAGTGTGGATGTTGATATTTGTGGTGGCTGTCAAGCTTAGCTTTGGAAATTTGAAGCATTGTTTGGATTCTGAAGTTTTTTCTGTTGGCTTATGATGAACTGTTCTTTGTTTAAGGAGAATAGAACGTGGAAGTGTTGTACTTGCATGGTTAGAAAATGGAACCGGCTGTTTTGGATGATATTATTCGGCGGCTTTTAGAGGTTCGCGGTAGACCTGGGAAGCAGGTCCAGTTATCAGAGGCAGAAATCAGGCAACTGTGCGGGGCTTCTCGAGAGATCTTCTTGCAACAACCCAATTTGTTAGAGCTTGAAGCACCCATCAAGATTTGTGGTACTTTTACTACTAAATCTTGTTCTCATATGAAAATGAATCTGACTTGCGATACTTGTTGGTTTTTCATTTTGCTTTGTTCTTATTACATGCGGTTCATCTCCACCTTAAAACCATGTGTAAAGCTCTTCTTTTCTGGTTACATTTGCTGGTTAGACCAGCATGCAGTTCATTATTAGACTTGTTGATTTGACTGTCAATTTTCCAACTCATGGATTAGATGCCAGGTGCTAATGAGACCCTGCTCTTCTTGTGTTCCTTTAATTACTACTAGTTGGCCCTGTCAAGCATTGACTTGCAAATTGAAAAAGTTATGATGCAGCCTTGGAGGCTCATGGTATCACCTCTGGGGATTAGTGTTTGATTCAATGCATTCCTTCATCATTCTCTGTCTGTTATTCTAGTCATTGGATGATGACTTTGTCTGAACTGCACTGTCTGCCCAATTACATAATCTTGCAAAGTATTTCTTTTCATCTGATTAAAATTCCCCTATCATGATGCCCTGTTAACCTCTATGTCTGCCAACTTACCATGCCATATCCTATTGCCAAGAAGTGGGAAAAAGACCTGTGTGTGCTTGCATCTTCCTGTGTTTTATTCTATCACAATAGTCCTGAAAAGACTCTTCAAACAGCCTGATGGTTATTGTTTGGATCTGCAGGTGATATTCATGGTCAATATTCTGATCTTCTAAGGCTGTTTGAATATGGCGGATTACCTCCACATGCAAACTACTTGTTTTTGGGAGATTATGTTGATCGAGGCAAGCAAAGTCTGGAGACAATATGTCTTCTACTTGCGTACAAGATAAAGTATCCAGAGAACTTCTTTCTGTTGAGGGGAAACCACGAATGTGCTTCTATTAACCGTATATATGGTTTCTTTGACGAGTGCAAAAGGAGGTTTAATGTTAGACTGTGGAAGACTTTCACAGATTGCTTTAACTGTCTACCGGTGGCTGCTCTAATTGATGAGAAAATTCTCTGCATGCATGGTGGTCTTTCTCCAGATTTGCATAATTTGGATCAAATCAGAAACTTAGCTCGGCCTACTGATGTACCAGACACAGGTTTGCTCTGTGATCTGCTTTGGTCTGATCCTAGCAAAGATGTTCAAGGTTGGGGAATGAACGACAGGGGTGTTTCGTTTACTTTTGGTGCTGATAAGGTGGCAGAGTTCCTTCAGAAGCATGATTTGGATTTGATCTGTCGTGCTCACCAGGTTTACACTCACACTTCTGTTATCCATGTTATTCCATATTGTTTTAACATGCTTGTGATTAACCCTTTAATCCCATGGATACCAAACATCATCAGCTTCTCCTTATCCTTGTATGATCAATCTTGGGTTTTTGCGGCTTGTGTTAGTTCTTGAGTGTATTTGTTGGTCTTGTGGTGGTTATCCCCTAGATTTCATTTTTTCTTACATCCATTTTACTTTTCTTTATTGCTTTGTGTGCTCTTGGATCATCTCATGTTCTCATGTGATGATGGGTTCTTGAAATCAATTCCTCTGTTTCACATCTAAAATCCTGTTGAATTTCGGCGTCATTTGCTGTTTTATATAATTCTTGGAACTCTGGAGGATATTCTTCACCATCTGCCCCTTTATCTGATCGTTTGACTTTGGTTTCACTTGTATGGTTGGTGCAGGTTGTGGAGGATGGATACGAGTTCTTTGCCAATAGACAGCTTCTAACAATATTTTCTGCACCTAATTACTGTGGAGAGTTTGATAATGCTGGTGCAATGATGAGTGTCGACGAGACGCTTATGTGCTCATTCCAAATATTAAAACCTGCCGATAAGAAGTCAAAGTTTAACTTTGGGCATGCAACTCCTGCAAAGCCTGGAAATGCTTCGGGAGGAGTTAATGTTTTTGGAAGCACAACAACAGCTAAGCCTGGTAATACACCAGCTGGGGTTAAGGTAAATGCTCGTACTGCAGTTACTTGAACTGTTATTCTTTCCATTCTATATGTTTGTTAGTGTAAGATTTCATTCTGGGATACAAGGCTCTTTTGGTAATTGGTAAATGCAAAGTTACACTTGTAAACCATGTCCTAGAGAATATTGCTTTGTATGCCAAGTTAGGTTGCATTTTAGGAGCCTATAGGTATGCAGGTTGACTTTTGCGACATTTTGGAAGAGGATAGGGTTGGTCGAGGATGGTTTTTTTTAATGATTAGATTTTCATTTGGACAGATAGATTTCAACATGTTATATTGCAGTGATGATGAATTCAGGGAACGGAATTTCTGTTGTTGGGCCACATGCTAGATTTTAGAATCCATTATGGATATTATGGTAGATTCACAATCCATATGTGATAAATCGAGAAATCTATACTGGTCGAACAAGTGTCTGATAGATTTCAGTCCATATGCATTGTCCAAAATCCAGCACTGAAATGAATGATTCAATTCAGGTTGATAAATAGATTTTGGTGAAACTGCATTGTCCAAAATCCAGCACTGAAATGAATGATTCAATTCAGGTTGATAAATAGATTTTGGTGAAACTGCATTGTTCAAAATCCAGCATCCATATGGGTGGTATTTCTTCTTTGCATGACTTGTATTGCCATGTATTTTTCCTGTTTTTCAATCTTGACTTGCTCTTTCAAGCTGCCTTTGTTACTCAATTGTCAGTCATGTTAAAAGTGCATCGTTGTTATCCTGATTTATCATTGCCATCCTTGCTTGCAGTCCTTCCTAGGCACCAAAGTATGATGATAATAGCCTTGATCTACCGTGGGTGATGGGCTTTAGATGAATGTTTAAGAATGTCCCGCGCTGCTTTTTTCCCCTATGAAGTCCAAGACTGCAAGCGAACTCGAAAGTTGAGGGGTTTTTCAGTTCACTATTGAAGGAGGAGAAGGTGGAATTGGAAAAGGGGGAGCAAGGAACTAGATGATCGGCCATGTAAGAAAGTTTGAAGAGGGAAGGCTGTAAACTCGTAGTAGCTCTTGGCGTTTGGATGATATGGTAAAACTAAATGTCACTCTTATAGGCCAGTGAAGCAACGTTGGAATTGTTTGATTGCTTCCTCCTGACTTTACCTGTTTGAATTCCTCGACCAGACTTTGTTAAACCATATTTTGCTTCCAAGCTCATCCATCTTACCGGGGTATTAGAGGGTTGATAGAATTCACTTGCATCGCATCGCATCTATGCCTCTTCATTTTTCGTTTTATGCTTCTTAATGTTTGAAACTCCCAGCTTGAGAAGGAGAAAGTGAAGTCTATGGACACTTAGTGCCTTGGTAAAGAGATATACAAGTTAAAGTTCAGACTTGACAAGAGTAACTGTTACAATCTTCTACAAAATGTTTTTTCGAATCAAGTGAGACAGAATTTGCTTGTGGTAACATTCCAGGCCTAGAGGAATTTGGAGAAGTTGAAGGGGAATGTTGCAATAGTTTTACTCCTTAGAATGCCCTCTAATGTGGCATCTCTAGCTGGATTAGAATATTAGATACTCAACCAACATAGGTGTTATGTAGGGATACCAACAAAACCCGAATCCATGGGTACCCACCCGACCCAACCCGGTCAACGCGGGTAAAACCTGTGTTGATGGGTTTTGGGCCCGGTTCGGGTTTAAACCCGCTACACTATTCACCGGGTCGGGTTGGGTTTGGGTTCGGGTTTAAACCCGCTACACAATCGTCCTAATTTAAAAGTTAAAATGACATTATTATTCTTCTTTCTTGTTTATTATTTTTATTTTATGAGATACTTAATTATAACAAACACAATTATCAACGATAAAAAAAAAACTTTATCCGTCCCTACCACTGTCTGCCGCCGCCATGAACCGCCACCAATACCCACCTCCAGTCGCCGGCCCAAAAAGACATCACGTATTAAGTTCCGGCTTGATCATTCTAAAAACATACTAGTTTAACGAGAGCCATTGAGACTTGCGTAACTGCATCGAACACCCATCCCCTAGTGTGAATCTGGTTTTTTATGGGATATGGGACTGCATATCCGAGATTCATATGTAGGCAGGTGAGTAGTGAGGTTACATTTGGCTTTTCCTTTCCTTTGGTTATTTTTGGTTTCAATATATACATATATATGTATATATGTATTGTTGCTAGAGGAGAAGGGCGATGCCAGTAGAGAGGTGGAGGGAAATTGGTGGTTTCTGCTGGCGGAGGGAATCAGCGGCGGAGGCAGGCGGAGGTTATTTTTTTTATTTTTAGGTTAGGGCGATTCGTGGTTTTTTATTTTGTTTGCTTTTGGACATTTATGTCATTTCCATTTTTAAGTTAGGGCGATATTAGTAAAGTTAGGGCGATGTTTAGCCATTCAGTTTGAAAAGAATGGAGGCGAGGCGAAGTTGAGACACAAAGTCATGGGTGGTGGGTTGCGGGTCTCGGGCCAGTTGGTGATGGTGGGTCGATTACTTTGTAGTGCGTCCTTTGTTTATCGGTCACATATTGTCGGTTAGACAATATGTTATTTACCCATAACTAACAACCGAATGATTCTAGTGGTTAAGTAACCAATTTTTTGGTTTGATTATAGGGTTTAACCGGAAATCACCAACCTTTTATCAATCCTATCTAGCATTGTGGTGGTCCTAATACCATGGCTTGACAATGATTGTAGATTGTAAGTAGATTGTCTTCCCATATGCTTTATATAGGGTAAATTGCAAGTTTGGTCACTGGAATTGCCTAAAAGGTTCACGTTTGCCACTAAAATTAATTTATTCCATCCCTGGTCACTCAAATTAGTTCAACAGTTCAAGCTTGGTCACTCTCTGTTAGTCTCCGTTAACTTTATCTGACGTGGCAGTCAACTCTGAGTGTTGACCGTTAAATAAGTGACGTGACAATTACAAAATATTTAAAATTTCCCATTTCCACATCATATTGACAACTATTAATAATAAAAATAAAAATTAATTATTATAGTCCCTGAATACATCTCTCGGACCCTGTCTCCTCCGCCTCCTCCCCTTCTCTCCTCGACTCCCAACAGCC